CTAGGAACGGGGAAAAAATAAGAACCAAGATGCATTATATAAAGGTACAATTCCCAATGAGAAATGTAATTGTGTTGTATACCTACAATATACTAGTAAAAGAATTTAATACAAAAAAAAAAGAATGACGGGATAAGGGTGAACAAAGTAAGGGGGAGTATTGAAGGGGATTAACAGTAAGCTTTCTTTTACTATAATACATTTTTAATTTAAAAATTCACCATTTTTATATTATACCTCATAAAATCAGCCTAGCAAAATGAAAATTCTATTTGTCCATTTTGTGCACTTTCTCTCATCTCTAAGAGCAATTTAGAGCTAAATAATTACCAAAATTCCCAAAGTGTGTCCTTATTCTCTAGTCTTTATGAGCAATCATCTAGAACAGTGGTGGCAAACCTATGGCACACATGCCACAGTGGGCTGTTTGTAACAATGAAAGCTCTAAAAGGTTTGTCATCACTGATCTAGAATGCAGATTATTAATGCTCTTATGTTTCCACCAGAAAATACAATAAGGATCAAGAAATTAAAAGGCTAAACCCAGTGGAAGGAGAAGCCGGAGTTTTTTCAACAAAGAGAACCATGAAGCCACTTAGAAAAGCTCCAATGTGGTCTTATCCTATGAGTTCTGTAAGAATTGTCCTTCACATTACTCCTAGCTTCTTTTGAAAGCATTATTTTAAAAACTGAGCAATCCATATCAGTCAAAGTGCCTGTCACCTAATTTGTAGCAGTACCTTTTTTAAACAGTATTAAACTGGAATACTGCCAAAGTAAACACAACTGGTTTTTTACTCAATCCACATGGTACATTTCTTGAACAACTTGTGTAATAGGGTACTATCAGAGTTCTAGGATGTTCAGAGAAACCAAGAATGACCACAAGCATAGAGAACCCCAATTATGAAAGTAGCTAACAACTCTATATAGAAAAACTAGGTACAAAAGGCTAGAGAGCCAGCTGGGTTTGGTGACAAACACCTGTAATCCCAGCACTCTGGGAGGCTGAGCGAAGAGGATTTCAAATTTGAGCCCAGTCTGGATTACAAAAGGAAGGGAAGGGGAAAGAGTAAGGGAAAGGAAAGGGAGAAAAAAAGGCAAAGCAAGATAAGCTAGAAAACTGTGTAGAAATTGATGAAGACTGCCTCATGTTCTACTTTTAAAAACAAGCTGCAGAAAACCTTAAAAGTCAAAGATAGAGGTCGGGGATTTAGCTCAGTGGTTTCGCCGCCTGCTGTGCAAGCACAAAGACCCAAGTTCAATCCCCAGTACCAAAATAAAAAAGTCAAAGGTAGAAGTCTAAGGACAAAAGTTCTTCAAACTACCTGCTTCTCCAGGTGGCCTGCAAGATTAGCTGGATCTTGTCCAAAATCTCAAAAGGAAAAATTTGCTGAATTTGGAGCCTCCCATAGCTGTGTGCAGTCCAAGTTTCACATGCCCAGAATGTCCTTGAGAAAAAAGATAAAGTTCAGTAAACTACCAAAACTGTTTAAAAAATCCTAATTGGGGGTAGGGAGTTATAAGATATAATCTGAGGTATTAGACATAGATAGGTGTCTCCTGTCTCTACTTTCTAGCCTGTTTGGTCTCCCTATGGTCCTGAGATGACAAAACACTAGATTAGGCATGTGAAGAGAAAGAACTCTATGAAAATACCAGTCAAACCTTCAGGGCTGACTAAATTTGTAGCTAAAGGTCATCCAATTCTAAACATACTTTGATACAAGGTAGCAGAGCAGCTGTCTTGAATATTTTTAATAACTGGCTATCAACCTTTACTATAGGACAGGAACTCAGTGAAGCAGATCTAAGCCCAATTTGCAACATTGTAAACACTCTGGAAGGTATGGTGGAAAGCACCAGGATGCTAAACTTGGAGATCTCAAATAAATGTAGGGTTGCAAATTCCTTATTAGGGTTACCAATTATAAAGACCTTAATATTGGGCCAGGGATTTAGCTCAGTGGTTCCGGTGCCTGCCTCCCAAGCGCAAGGTCCCGAGTTCGATCCTCGTTACCAAAAAAAAAAAAATGAATTTGAAAGACCTTAATATTAATATCAAATAAATTAAGTGGTATATAGAAGATGACTTATTAAACTCTATTCTCTAAATAAGTTGTCTTGTAAAGTCAAAGAGTGTTCTATGATATTCTCAATGTGAGCAAAACAAGCTTTAAAATCTCTTGGCAATGTCCTTCCCTATCCTTATACAACCTTATAGAAATATAGATTAGATACTGTACCCCTAAATACAAGTTTCCAGTTAAGGAACTTCATACATATGTGCATGTATTTACTCTGCTCCTTCCGGAAACCCCATTAATGAAAGGAAATGAACACTCCATGTGAGAGCAAATTTACCTAAAGAAGTTTTTGGGTTTTTGTTTTTTTTTGTTTTTTTTTTTGAGAAAGGGTCTCACTATGTACTCATGCTGGACTGGAACTCATGAAGATGCTCCTGCCTCAGCCTTCCAATTGCTGGGATTACAAGTATGCATCACCACACTGGGCAAGAATTTGTAAATTAATCCAAATGAAAGTTCATGTATAGACTATCTACTTATAGTATTTAAAAAGAAACAAATCATACACTCTCCCCCCTACTGATATTCTGACTCCCTCAGTATTATACAAGTTGTAGGTTATTGTGGTTTTCATGTCTAAACTACCTTGCAATTTTGTTAAGTTTGCCAATGGAGTATGGCTACATTAATGTTAGCGCCTTAGCCCTCCAGTTTTGTTCGTTATTATGATAATGACATACTCAAAGAGCATTCCCTTTCCCTTAAGGGGGAATCTAAGTCCAGAGAAAGTGGCTACATTCTGGAAGTGATACAGAATTACAAATCTAGTGTTCAATATTCATTGCAAAGGATTTTAAGACTCCTCAGTCATCTTCCTTCATGCCCCAAGAACTTCTTAATGGGTTCATACTACTCATTAAAGTTTATACACCACCATAATGATTTGTTCATTTCCACATCCTCCATGAGAGAGCAAATTCCTTGACAGAAATCATGTCTTTGGCTTTGTTACTTATTCCAATGTCTGATACAGTATCTGTTGAATTAAAAAAAATCTTTTTTTTTTTTGTACCAGGGATCGAACTCAGGACCTTGCTCTTGCAAGGCAGGTGGCAGAACCACTGAGCTAAATCCCCAGCCCTATCTCAATTTTTTAAATGCTCATATTCCTAGAGCATCCCTTTTGACAATTGCCAGAGATTTTCTCAATCACAGAGATTCAAGCAATGAATTAAAATGCAATTCCAAGATTCACCTTAGATGCTATCTAGCAGTCATCAATCCACCTAAAATAAGAGTCATTTTTCCTCTTGAGTCAGGGTACAGAAGCCAGCTCCAAATTCATCCTTTTAAAACAAATTTCAATGATAGTTATAAAGGTGTTTGTTGATACTGAATGATAATTTGATTAATAGCAACAAAGCATTTTATAAACAGATCACTTTGTTTTCAAATTGGGGTGATAAGAATTCTGGGGATTTGTGGATATATTCTCATGTAACTCCAAGTTCTATGAGTTGTGTAAAGCATGTCTTTGACAAAGAGAACTTAAAATTGGAGAACATGTTTACATTTCAAGTAACTTTCTTAAGTCAACACTCCACAAAACACATTCTTTTTTTTTTTTTTTGGTACTGGGGATTGACCTCAGGACTTTGTGCCTGCAAGGTAGGCGGCAGCACCACTGAGCTAAATCCCTGGCCCCACAAAACACATTCTTTAAAACCTGGGATTAGCTCAGTGGTTCTGCCAGCTGCTTCGCAAGCGCAAGGTCCCAAGTTTGATCCCTTGTACCAAAAAAAAAACAAAGAAAGAAAGAAAACCACAAATAAAACCTCGGAAAATTTTTTTCTTTAAAAGGTGTCTCATTCTGAAGTACAGCTAGAGCTAGAAAAAAAATGCCACAGACCACATTTCCAAAAAAATTTAATATATATATATATATATATATATGCACACACACACACACATTTCCCCTAGCTAGACAGTCAATACTGGGGGTAAGGAGGGGTGGCAAGCTTTTAGCAAATATGGATATTAATTAAAATGGGCTGTAAAAAAAAGCCCAGCTCATTTATATGGTTCTTGTTGCTCCTGCTAGGATGCATAGATATGCACCAAAACAAGTTCAAATTTTATGTGAGTGTTTTTCTCAATCTAGACATTTGTGTTTGTTTTCCATCGAGGAAGATAAGCTTGTTTTAGCTTGCCATAGTATCTCTTGAAAAAGGTGAAGGGAAAACAATAAATAAACTACAGTATAAAGTAAACAAAACCAAGACTTCTTTTTAAAACTTATATTTCTCCACTGTCCTCTTGGCAAAAAAGATTCTAAATTAAAACATATCTCTGATCTGGATTACTGATAGTCATCTGTTCTTGGGCAGAAATACAGTAAAATGGTACAAACAGCCAAAGTATCAAATTTATATCCCCAAGCCCTGGACTTTGAAAAGGTTAAGCTTGATAATTTAATAATCACCTATTTGCCGGCCTTGACATATAGCCAAACACAATGGCTAGGCTCTATCTCCTTAATATCTTTCCATGCCTCCAGGTATTTAAAAAGACATTAAAATAAACCAACTGGACTACCCAGATGGCTACAGTATTAATCATATTCTGGCTCAAAGAGAAAGAGGAAACCCACATCCTTCTTTAAACTTACCCTATCAACTTCAAACCCTAGTGAGCTCTCTTTTAAAAATTCTTATTACTGGCCGGGGATTTACCTCAGTGGTTTCGCCGCCTGCTGTGCAAGCGCAAGGACCCGAGTTCAATCCCCAGTACCAAAAAAAAAACTCTTATTACTGCCAGGCATGATAGTACATGCCCGTAATCCCAGTACTCGGAAGGCTGAGGGAGGAGGATCGCTCTGAGTACGAGGTGAGCCTGGGCTACATAGTACATTCTAGGCCAGCCTGGACTGTATAGCAAGACCCTGTCTTAAAACACCAAAAAAAAATCCCCCAAAAAACCTCTATTACTTATAATTCATACAATACCTGATCATCATTTCCTAAAGTCATTTCAAGTGTGTTCATATTAGTTCTTCAACAATACAAGCATCTCGAGGATGAAGTTATAAGATATGATTTCTAACCCTCTTTTCAGGGTAACCTTGCATAGGGCTGGGTACACAATATTTAATTATACAAATCTGTTGATTAACATATATATGTATTTATATATTGCAGATGAGTTGAGAAGAGGCAAAGAGACTAAGATTTTCTGACTTTTTTATGGGTACCATCTAAGAGAAAGAAAATAGAGTAGGGAAAAGATTAGTTAATAGATACAAAATAGTACTTACAGTATTCTAAAACACCAGCAACTCTTCTTATAGCTGTCCAAGGAGACAGTAGTGCAAAACAGCACCCTGAGCTGGGCAGATCTTTTGACATCCTTCTTGAGGAATATCCTTTCCTTTCTCAGTGACTACAAAGAATGGCTGTTGTGACAACTAGTTATTTGATTCCAGTTTCATACTAAATACTGAGTTGTCACCAAACATCCTATATCAGTGATAGCGAATCTTTTAGAGCTTTCAATGACAACAACAGGCTGTGGCATGTGTCATAAGCTATCATTGCTTTATACATTTAGAGAGAATGAGTTTTTTTTTTTATTATCTCTTTCATTTGTTAAAGTTTATGCTTAGAAGAATGATTAGATCTTGGCTTATTTCTCGTATACTATAAAATGGGAAAACAGGTCCCATCATTTTAAGGTAAGTGTTCACTTTAGAGTGATTCTTCAAACTACTTCAAATTAGTAGCAGAATTAAATGGTGCACTTTATATAAGATTAATCAAATAAAGTGGTCTATAATTTTCAAAAGCCCATCAGCATATGTTCTCTCATTTAATCCATTTACAGCAATCTTCTTGAAGTAAGTAAGGGCTAATGCTCAAGATGAAGAAATTTAAGGATTGGAAAGTTTAGGTCATTTTCCTGAAAGTGAATCATGGTAAAGCCCAAAAGAAAATTGTTTCTTAAATTATAGTACAGCTCAAAGATTCTGCCGTTAAGGGTTCCACTCTAAAATTCCTTTGGTAATACTATACACTAAGGTAATAAGACTCACAATGATCTATCCACAGATCTACCACACTCAGTAAAATGAGACACTGGTCACCAGGTATATAATATAAATGGATATTTTGAGGGGCTTCAAAAAAGGCTAATGACAAAGTGATCAATTCTACCTTTCATTCCAAATGTCTTTCTTTAAAAATTAAATATGAGCAATTTTTCTGGTTGTGCCTGGCCACTGGCACTATACAATAGAAACATACAAAGGACTAGAGGCGAGATACTTAACCAGGTATTATGCTCTGAAAGTAAAAATGCAAATAAAGTGCTAACTTTCCTTCCTGCAGAGACAGTTTTCAATTGATACTGTATATTAAAAACCCCAACTAAAGGGTAGCAATCCAGCTCCTTAAGCCTCACTTGCCTTGAACACTTTGCACAATCAAACAGCAATGGAGGTGGTCAGTAATGGTTCTTGTCCTGGGAATGTGCCAATAATTGGAGCTGAGATAATTAACAAATGGAAGAAAAAGTGAAGGCTCACAAACCTAGCTCAGGCTTGCTTTTGATTATTAACACTGCACCAACACATCAAAGTGATAGGGAGATCTGGTACTTATGGGGTGAAAAACGGGACAATGTGTACTGTGTTCATTAATAACACATAAGGGGCTTTGGGTAACTGGCATTACTCGGAACCAATGCAAAGGAAGTGGAGAACTCTATGTCTAATGGGCAGGACCAAGGAAAGTACAACTGAGACATTACAGCCAGATAAAGTGGGTAAATCAATGACATGTGGGATTGTTAAACTTAGTAAGTGCAAGAGAAAGATCACTGCCCAGTCAACATTACCCAGCAAAGAGGTGAAAGGGGCAGGGCAGGGCAGGGCAAGGGGGAGAGGGAACACAATCATACCTAATGGTCAGATTATGAGCATTAATAGTCCATAAGAAGGGACGCAAGGCAGACAAGGGGCAGGGGAGAGGGAAAACCTTGTATAAATGGTAAGGCCATGGCTATTTGGGATTTTATATACTGGAACAATGAAAAAGGTATGGAAGTATGGGTCATTGTTTGATGCACAAGTACATAGCATACTGCAATGTTTGTACTTTATTAATGCCATGGGAAACTGAGGAAAGAGTGACTGTTTAATAGGGCCAGGAAAGAAAAATAACCATTTATGATTGCACTGTACCTATTAACAGTCCCAAGATAATTTTAGGAGAAAAAAGTAACATTAATAATTGCCATTGTGCTCATTAACAGTCTCAAGAGATGCTTTGGATGGTCAGTAGTAAGGCAAAGGGGGTATGAGGATATAGTGTCCTAGGCATGCATAATTGCAAGTATTCACACTAACAATCCAAGGGATCTTAGTTGGTCAGCACTCCTGATGTATGTAGAGAGTGCAGGGTCCTATTTAATGATCAGTATTCAGGATAACTGTCATTGGGATACACTAATTGTTCAAGAGCAGAGGTTATAAATAGCCCTTCTCAGCAGTGATCAAAAGGTAGTGGTAGTAACATAATGTCCTTTTTTTACTACATAGGTCCACACACAAAAATAATTATGCATATTACCATTCATATAGAAGGCACTTTCATCATCAACACACCCCTGAAGCAAAGGGGATATAAGGAGATCAAATTCTAATCCAAACAAGGGAGGGACAATTATATTAATGCACACTGAAGCCCAAAAGAAAGGATACTAGGTGAAAGCATCTCTCTGCTTTAAAGCAAAGAGCGTACAGGAGTTCTGATATAAGACATGCTTAGAAAATTTTATTTGTGTACATGAAGTTTCCAAGTCAAAGAGTTTTGAGTGGTGGGCATTTTCTGCAGAAAATACTAAGAAAATAGGTGGGATCCTTTTCTAATTCACAAAACAGAAGCAAATGCAATTGTATATATTAACAGTCCCAAAGCAGAGAACCTTGGTTTGGTTATCAGCACTCTGCTGTAGGCCAAAGGAAATGTGAGGGGGTATGACTTTAGTACTCTGACAAAGACTAAAGAAAATTTCAATTATATATATCCCCTGCAGTAGTGCAGAGTTACAATGGTCCTAGAAGTAACAGAGTTGTGGATAACTGCAATAAGGCACATTACCTGCCAAATGTAAAGGCCGTAAGCAGTGGGCATCACTTATTAAAAAGCAGAAGTCAGAGATGGGGTGTTCTTGTCTAGTGCACAAAAACTCAGACTGATGAAATTCTGCAAGTAACAGGTCACCAAAAAAAGGGACTTAGAAGTCAGAAACTTTAGTATGTGGCAAATGGAGGGCAAGAGGGAATGACTAGTTAAATAGGATAAACTATGTCCTGATGATATACATTACTGTCCCAGAGACATAGCTATGGACAAATACAACTACATAGTTTGTACAAGTACAAGGATCTTAAAAGTAGAGGGCACTATTATTTGAAAAGTAGAGGGCAGGGTGGATAGAGTGGTCTTATCTAGTAATTAAGAAGCCAAGAAAAGAAGCTTTAAGGATCAGCATTCCTGCTGTATTGCAAAGGGGGTTGAGAGTAAGATCTTACTCAAATGGAATGAGCCACATGCAGTTATGAACATTAATGTCCTAGATGCATGGCTGTGACCATTATAGCTGTGCATCTGGACTACTTAAATGTAAGGGTCTTATGGAATGCTCATACTGCTAGAAGGCAAAGGAAAGGGGTGGGAGTAGCTGTCTAGTACACAGAAACCTAGACAAATATAATCATCAACATAATAGACCAAATAGGACAATTATATTAATGAACCCCTGCTTTACTGCAAAAGGGGTCTAGAAAATAGGATCTTATTCAAGTGAGATTAGTCATGTGCAAATATGCACATTAATGTCCAAGGTATATGATTGCAGTCATTACAATTGTGCACTTTGACAGTTTAAGTATAATGTTCTTATGGAGTACTCCTAACTGCTAAAGAAAAAGAAGTTGGAAGAGGGGGGATCAGGGCAGAGATTTCCTCGTACAGTACACTACAACCTGGACAAGTATAAAGGCCTACATAGTAAGCCAAGAATAGGGGCATTAGTAGTGATCAACATCCCTGCTGTATTGCAAAAGGGTCTGCCTGATGGTAGCATTTTACTCAAATGAGATTAATCAGGTGCTGTTATGCACATTAGTATTGAAGGCTCATGACTGGAACCATTATAATTGGCCACCTTTACTGTTTAAGTATAAGGGTCTTATGAGGTGGGCAGTCCCTCCTGGAAGGCAAAAGAAGGGTGGGAGGGGGGAGGGGAGGGTTGAGAGGTTCCTTGTATAATAATAGTACACAGGAATTCAAACATAAATGCCCACATAACAGGCCAATAGGAGCCTTAATGATTAGTATCCCTGTTTTACTGCAAAAGAGGCTGAGAGTAGGATCTTATTCAAATGGGATTCAGTTACGCACATTAGTATTTAAGGTACATGATTCTGGTCATTACAATTGTGCACCTTGACTGTTCAAGTGTAAGAGTCTTATAGAGTGGGCTAGAAAGGAAGATGGATGGAGGAAATAGGGGAGAACTTGGGAGAGGGGTAGGTCTTGGTACACACAGGAACTCAAACATAATCATCCATGTAATAGGCTGAGAATAGGGGCATTAGTGATCAGCATGCCTGCTGTTTGGGAAAAGGGATTAAGAGAAGAATCATATTCAAATGGGATGAATCATGTGGAGTTAAGTACATTAGTATTCTAGGTATACAGTTGTGATCATTACAATTGTGTACCTTTACTATTCAACTGTAAGGGTCTTACGGAGCAGGCAGTTCCTGTTGGAAGGGAAAGGAAGTTGGATGAGGGAAGGCAGGCAGGGTTGAGAGGGAAAGTTCCTATCTAATGCACAGGAACTCAGAAAAACATAATCACTGTCATAACAGGCCAAGAATAAGGGCCATAGTAATCAGCACCCCTGCTATAGGACAAAAGGGGGCTGAGAGTAGGATCTCACTCAAATGAGCCACATGTAGTCATGCACATGAGTATTCAAGGTGAATGGTTTTGGTCATTACAATTGTGCACCTTGACTGGTCAAGTGTAAGAGTCTTATAAAGTAGGAAGTCCCTGTTGAGAAGGAAAGGAAGTTGGATAGGGGAGGGTACAGTAGAGTTAGGTCTACTACACAGGAACTGAGACAGACCCAATCACTCATACAACAGGCCAAGATTAGGGCCTTATAATCACCAACTCTCCTATATGGCCCAAAAGGAGGTGAGAGTAGGAGCTTATTCAAATGAGATGAGCCATGTGCATTTATGCACATTAATATTCCAGGTGCATGGTTTTGATCATTACAGTAGTGTACCTTGACTGGTCAACTGTAAGGGTCTTTGGAGTGTGTAGTCCCTGCTGGAAGGTAAAGAAAGATAGATAGGGGAGGGCAGGATGGGGTTACAGGAGGGGTTCCTTGTCCAGTAAACAGGAATTCAGATACACATAATTACTCATATAATAGGCCAAGATTAGGGCCTTAGTGATCAATATGCCTACTGTACTGAAAAGGAGGCTGAGAGTAGGATGTTATTCCAATGAGATGAGTGACGTGCACTTCTGCACATTAGTATTCAAGGTGCGTGATTTTGGTCATTACAATTGTACACCTTGACTAGTCAACTGTCAGAGTTTTATGGAGCAGGCAGTTCCTATTGGAAGGGAAAGAAAGTTGGATGAGGGAGAACAGGGCACAATTCAGGGAGAAGGTTCCTTGTTTAGTACAGAGAAACTCAGGCAAGCACAATCACCCACATAATAAGCCAAGATAAGGGCCCTGGTGATCAGCCTCCGTGCTGTACTGCAAAAGTTCTGACAGTAGGATCTTATTACAACGAGATGAGCCATGTGCAGTCATGCACGTTAGTGTTCAAGGCACATGGTTTTGGTCATTAAACTTGTGCACCTTGACAGGGCAAGTGTAAGGGTCTTGTGAGTGGGCAGTCCCTGTTGGAAGAGAAGTTAGATGAGATAGAGCAAGACAGGGTTGGGGGGTGCGGGGTTCCTTGTCTAGCACGTAGGAACTCAAACAAAATCACCCACATAATAGCCTAAGATTAGGTCCCTGGTGATCAGTACCCCTGCTGTAATGCAAGAGTTCTGGCAGTTGAACCTAATTCCAATTAGATGAGCCATGTGCAGTTATATACATTAGTATTCAACTTACATGGTTTTGGTCATTACAATTGTACACTTTGACAAGTATAAGGGTCTTATGAGTGGGCAGTCCCTGTTGGAAGCACAGGAAGATGGATGGGGGAGGGTAGGGCAGGGGTGCGGGTTACAAGTTTACCTTGTTTAATACACAGGAACTCACACAAACATAGCCCCCATATAACAGGCCAAAATTATGGCCTTAGTGATAAGTACCCCTGCTGTACTGCAAAGGGGGCTGAGAAAAGGATCTTATTCCAATCATGAGCCACATGCAGTTATGTACATTAGTATTCAAGGTTCATGGTTTCAGTCATTACAATTATGCACCTTGATAGGTCAAGTATAAGTGGCTTATGTGTGGGCAGTCTCTGTTGGAAAGGAAAGGAAGATAGGATAGAGGAGGGCAGGGCAGAGTTAGGGAGTAAGGAAGTTCTGGGACTAATGCACAGGGACTCAGACAAACATAGTCATCCATATAATAGGCCAGGATTAGGCCCTTAGTTATCAGTGCCCCTGCCATATGGCAAAAAGGGCTGAGAATAGGATCTTATTCCAATGAGATGAGCCATGTGCAGTTGTGCACCTTTGTATTCAAGCTGCATGGTTTGGTCATTACAGTTGTGCACCTTGATGGGTCAAATGCAAGGGTCTTGTGAGTGGACAGTCCCTGTTGGAAGGGAAAGGAAGACGGATAGTGGAGGGCAGGGCAGGGTTGGGGGAGTGACAAGGTTCCTTGACTAGTACACAGGAACTCAGACAAACATAATCATCCATATAACTGGCCAAGATTAGAGATTTGGTGAACAGTATCACTGCTGTACTGCAAAGGGGGCTGAGAATAGGATCTTATTCCAATGATGAGCCACATGCAGTTATGCATATTAGTATTCAAGGTTCATGGTTTTAGTTATTACAATTATTCACCTTGATGGGTCCAGTGTAAGTGGCTTACGTGTGGGCAATCCCTGTTAAGAAAGGAAAGGAAGATGGATAAGGGAGGGTAAGACTCGGCTGGGGAATGGGAAGGTTGTTAGACTATTACACAGGAACTCAGAGAGACACAGTCACCCATATAACTGGCCAAGATTAGGAGCCTTCGTTATCAGTACCCCTGCTGTAATGCAAAAGGGGCTGAGAATAGGATCTTATTCCAATGAGATAAGCCATGTGCAGTCATGCACCTTCTATTCAAGGTACATGGTTTGGTCATTACAATTGTCCACCTTGATGGGTCAAAAATGCAAGGGTCTTATGAGTGGGCAGTCCCTGATGGAAGGGAAAGGAAGATGGATAGGGGAGGGCAGGGCAGGGTTTAGGGGTTGCAAAGTTTCCTTGTCTAGTACACAGGAACTCAGACAAACACAATCACTCATATAAAAGGCCAGGATTAGAGGCCTTCATGATCAGCAATTCTGCTATACTGCAAAAGTTCTGACAGTAGGATTTTTTTTTTTCTTGGTAGGAGGGATCAAACTCAGAACCTTGTGCTTTCGAGGCAGGTGCCAGAACCACTGAGCTAAATCCCTGGCCCGACTGCAGGATTTTACTGCAATGAGATGAGCCATGTGCAGTCATGCATGTTAGTATTCAAGGTGCATGGTTTTGGTCATTACGCTTCTGCACCTTGACGGGTCACGTGTAAGGGTCTTATGAGTGGGCAGTTCCTGTTAGAAAGGAAAGGAAGATGGATAGGGGAGGACAAGGCAGGGTTGAGAGGTGCGAAGGGTCCTTGTCTAGCACACAGAACTCAGAAAAACACAATCATCCATACAATAGGCCAGGATTAGAGGCCTTCATGATCAGTACCCCTGCTGTACTGCAAAAGGGGTTAAGAGTAGGATCTTATTCCAATGAGATGAGCCAAGTGCAGCTATGCACATCAGTATTCAAGGTGCATGGTTTTGGTTATTACAATTGTGCATCTTGATGGGTCAAGTGTAAAGGTCTTATGTTTGGCAGTACTCTTTGGAAGGAAAAGGAAGATGGATAGGGGAGGGCAGGGCTGAGTCAGGGGGTGGTAAGGTTCCTTGACTAGTACACAGGAATTCAGAAAAACACAGTCAATCATATAATAGACCAAGATTAGGGCCTTAGTGATTAGTACTCTTGCTGTACTGCAAAAGGGGCTGAGAATAGGATCCTATTTCAACAAGATGAGCCATGTGCAGTCATGCCCCTTTGTATTCAAGGTGCATGTTTTGGTCATTACAATTATGCACCTTGATGGGTCAAATGCAAGGGTCTTATGAGTGGGCAGTCTCTGTTAGAAACGAAAGGAAGATGGATAGGGGAGGGCAGAGAATAGTTGGGGGAAGGTTCCTTGTCTAGTATACAGGAACTCACACAAATACAATCACCCAGGTAATAGGCCAAGATTAGGAGCCTTCGTGATCAGTACCCTTGTTGTACTGAAAAGTTATGACAGAAGGATCTTTTTTCTATTAGATGAGACGTGTACTTATGCACATTATAATTCAAGGTACAAGGTTTTGGTCATTATCGTTGTGTACCCTGACGGGTCAAGGGTAAGGGTCTTATGAGTGGGCAGTCCCTGTTGCAAGGGAAAGGAAGTTAGATGAAAGAAGGCAGGGTAGGTTCAGGGTTGCAAAGTTTCCTTGTCTAGTACACAGGAACTCAGACAAACACAATCACCCATATAAGAGGCCAGGTTTGGGGCCTTTATGATCAGCAACCCTACTGTACTGCAGAAGTTCCAACAGGATTTTACTCCAATGAGGTGAGCCATGTGCAGTCATGCATGTTAGTATTCAAGGTGCATGGTTTTGGCCATTACGCTTGTGTACCTTGACTGGTCAAGTGTAAGGGTCTTATGGATGGGCAGTCTCTGTTAGAAACGAAAGGAAGATGGATAGGGAAGGACAAGGCAGGTTGGGAGGTACAAAGGGTCCTTGTCTAGTACACAGAACTCAGAAAAATAGAATTGTCCATATGCAGGCCAGGATTAAGGGCCTTTGTGATCAGTACCCCTGTTTTACTGCAAAAGTTTGGACAATAGGATCATATTTCAATGAGATGAGCCATGTGCAGCTATGCCCATTACTATTCAAAGTACATGGTTTTGGTTATTACACTTGTGCACTTTGATGGGTCAAGTGTAAGGGGTTTATAAGTGTGGGCAGTCCCTGTTGAAAAGGAAAGGATGATGGAAAGGGGAGAGGGGGTCAGGGCAGAGTTAGGGCCTGGGAAGTTCCTTGACTAGTATATAGGAACTCAGACAAATATAGTCACCCATATAATAGGCCAAGATTAGGGACTTAGTGATCAGTACCCCTGCTGTACTGCAAAAGTTCTGACAGTAGGATCTTATTCCAATGAGGTGAGTCATGTGCAGTTATGCACAGTAGCATTCAAGGTGCAGGGTTTTGGTCATTACACTTGTGCACCTTGACAGGTCAAGAGTAAAGGTTTTATGAGTGAGTAGTCCCTGTTGGAAGGGAAGGATGGATAGGGGAGGACAACGCAGGGTTGGGTGGTACGCAGGGTCCTTGTTTGGTTTACAGAAATCAGAAAAACACAGTCATCCATATAACAGGCCTGGATTAGAGGCCTTCGTGATCAGTACCCCTGTTGTACTGCACAAGTTCTGTCAACAGGATCTTATTCCAGTGAGATGACCCATGTGCAGTTATGCACGTTAATATTCAAGGTACAGGGTTTTGGTCATTACAATTGTCCACCTTGATGGGTCAAATGTAAGGGTCTTTGAGTGGGCAGTCTTTGTGGAAGGGAAAGGAAGATGGATAGGGGAGGGCAGGGCACAGTCGGGATGTGAAGGTTCCTTGACTAGTACAGAGGAACTCACACAAACATAGTTACCCATATAATATGTCAAAATTAAGGCTATAGTGATCAGTACTCCTGCTATACAAAAAAAGGGGCTAAGAATAGGATCTTATTCCAATGAGATGAGCCATGTACAGCATGTACCTTACTATTATCAAGGTGCATGACTTTGGTTATTTTACTTGTGCACCTTGATGGATCACGTGTAAGAGTCTTATGACTGGGCAGTCCCTGTTGGAAGGGAAAGCAAGTTGGATGAGGGAAAACAGGTAGGGTTGGGGCGAAGGTTCCTTGTGCAGTCAGTACATAGCAACTCAGACAAACACAATTACCTATTTAACAGGCCAAGATTAGGGCCCTTAGTGACCAGTATCCCTGCTATTTGGCAAAAAGTGGCTGATAATAGGATGCGCCATATCTAGTGATTTGCATTCATATTCAAGGCTCATGGTTGTGGTCATTACAATTGTACTCCCTGACTTTTCAAGTACTTTTTTTTGGTACTAGGAATTATTTTTCAAGTACTTTTCAAAGGTCTTAATGAATTGGGCAGTCCCTGCTGGAAGGAAATGAAAATAGAGAAGGGAAGGTAGGGTATGAGTTGGGGTTCCCGGTCTAGTACACAGGAACTCAATCACCCACATAACAAGACAAGAATAGAGGCCTTAGTGATCAGCACCCCTGCTGTATTAGTTAAGGGGTTGATAGGAGGATCTTATTCAAATGGTGACTCATGTGTAATTATGCACATTATTATTATAGGTGCATGGTTATGATTATTACAATTGTGCACCTTAACTGTTCAAGTATAAAGGTCTTATGGAGTAGGAAGGCTCTGCTGGTAGGGAAAGGAAGGTGAATGGGGGAAGTGAGGACAAGGCAGTGTTGGAGGGAGTATTCCTTGTCTAGTAAATAGAAACTCAGACAAACATAATTACTCATATAAGAGACCAAGAAATAGGAACCTTAGTGATGAGCACCTGTACTGTATTGCAAAAGGGGCTGAGAGGATTTTATGCAAATAGAATGAGCTACATGTAGTTATGCACATTAGTATTCAAGGTGCATGGATGTAGTCATTACCGCTGTGTACCTTGACTGTTTAATTGTAATGGTCTTATACCACAGGCACTCCTTGCTGAAGGCAAAGGAGGATAAATGGGGGAGGCCAAAGTAGGGTTTAGGATGATACACAGGAACCCAGACAAACAGAATCACCTATATAACAGGCCAATAATAGAAGTCCTATTGATAAGGACCACTGCTGTACTGTAAGGTGAGTATAAGGGCAGAATCTTATTCATATGATGTGCCATGTGGAATTATGCACATTAGTCTTCAAGGTGTATGGTTATCATTACAATGTGGACCCTGAATTTTCAAGATTAAGGGTCTTATGGAGTGGGCAGTTCCTGCCTGAAGGAAAAGGCAGAAGGGGAGGGCAGGTTCTTTTCCTAATGCATAGAAATCCAGCCAAGTACACTCACAGGCTCCAAAATGGGCACTTAGTGGTCAACACGCCTGCTGTATTTCAAACAAAGTATCAAAGGGAAAGATCCTAATTGTCATTATGCACATAAAAAGCTGGCGAAAGGAGCCTTAGGTAAATAGCCCCTCATGCAGTAAACCTAAGGTATGAAGGGGTCAAGAGAGAAAAGTCTAACTTGAAGGACCATTGAGGATTGCATTTATGTATTATTTGGAGTTTTAAGAGAAGAGATTTATGTTGGTTAGCATCCTGTCCTTTGATAAATACTGGTGTTCTGACCTGAAAGGCACAGTTTTGGACAACTGAGAATTTGTACAGAGCAACTAAGATTGTGCACATTAAGGCAACTAATTTAAAGGTCTGAAGTAGTAGCCTCCTCCTGCTAGAATATAAATAGAGCTGTGAGGTCTTTACTTGGTTTATACAACTGGAGCAAATTTAAGTATGCATGGCCAGAGAGTATGAATCTTAGCTAGTGAGAAGTCCTTGCAGTAATGCATATAGAGCAAGGAAATGGGGTCTTACTCTAATATAAAGGGGCTTAAACTACTGCTAATTATGTGCATTCTAGCATTGAAAAAATGCCTCCTGCTGTTTTGCAAAGGAGGTATAGATGGCTAGATAGGGCAATTTTGTTCAAGGAATCAGCCAACAGAAAGAATTCAGGTGGGCCATACACCCTACTATAATCAGAGAAAGCAGAATATTGACTTACTGGGAGGAGCCATAGACAATTGGAAATACACACATAAGAGTTCCAACAGAAGGACTTTCTTTAGGTTGCTAGCATCCCTTGCTATAATATAAAAGGGGTGGGATACTCCTTTAAAAAGAGGAACCATTAATATTGAAATTTTGCACATTCATAGTCCCAGGGAAGGTAACAATGTAGCTGATTAACACCCTTTGCTGTAATATACAGCAAAGAAAACTTGATCATAAAGATATCGTTGTGGTCAATTATTACAATTCACATTAACCATCCTAATGTCTCGATGGCGGGGTGGTATGGGGATCAAACTCAGGACCCTGCACTTGTGAGGCAGGCATGGCACCACTGAGATAAATCCCTGGCCCTAATGTCTTGAGTATAGTCTTCAGGGCACAAGAAAAGGGCCAAATGCAATTATGCACATTAACAGTACAGAAGGAGTCTTAGTGGTTATCACTGTCAGCTGTAATACTAATAGTGTGAGAGGATGAGATATTAATTTAATAAAATTAACTACAATTGTAATTATGCAGATTAAAGTCCCAAGTACCCCCTGATGTAATGCAAAAGGAGCCTAAGAGGATGGGATCCCAGACTAACAGATGTATACAACTGCAATTCTGCACAACAATTTCAGGACAAAGTGCCTTAGGTAATTAGAAACCTCTTGATACAAAGCAGAGATGGTACAGGGATCTTCATAAAAAAGGTTCCATTTTAATCAATTGGAATTATGCATGTAAATAATAAATTTATTATTCACAGTGGTTCTTTTCTGTTAGGCAGATACAATTATGATTGAGTACATTAATATTTCAAAGAAAGGAAATCTGAGAATAAGCACCCTTACTGTAGTGCAAACAGGATGAAAAAGAGATATTACTCAATAATTCAAGAAACATGGTCTACGGTAGGTAGTTAGCACTGCCTCAAAGTAAAGGCCCATGGAGGTCCTTATGATTAATGGGCCAATGAAATTACTTTTTTTGTACTTTAATCAAAAACAGCAGGACTCCCCAAAAAAGCAAAACAAAAAGGGTGTTTTTGTTTAATGGGCAAGGCTATGACAATTGGAACTGAGCACATTAACTGTCCAACAGAAGATTTGGGTGGTCTGCCCCTTCTGGTGAATCTAAATGGGGTTTGGACTGGGTTCTAATCCAGTGCACAGAGTATGGACAATTAGACATACACTCAATGAAAAGTTTTAGTTGGTCAACATAGTTCAGGAGAACAGACCATTGAGACTTTTGCAGCAATGACAAAAGAATGGTTTTCTCCTGCCATAAGGGCACAGGACTAAAAAGGTGAGTAACTCAAACTATGGACAGTACTTAGTACTTCTCTGATATGAAGCTCTTGATTATTAACATTTTCTAACATTGACATGTAGTGAAGAATTCTTTATCAGGTGTGAATTAGCTGAAAATGGTGACTTGGGCATATAGCACCGAAGATTAGCAATGCTAGAGGTAGAGAGGATATCTCAGTCTAACAAGATGAGCAATGGACAATTTATTTGGTCACTGAATCAATGAAGATTGGAATAACTCTAGGGAGAGAAGCAGGGGTGGGGAGGGGGAGCTGGACCTGGGGCTAGGGATGGGAGATCAGGGGGCTGGGGCTGGGGCAGGGGGAAGGGGAAGGGGCAGGGGCAGTGGCATGACTAGGGGGCAGGACTAGGGCATTGATGGGATCAGGGCTGGGGAGGAGCTGGGTTCTAGGAAGGCATGAAACCATTGAAAATTGAAATATGGTTATTAATATTCCAATTAATAAGTCTGATAAAGGACACCAGACCACAGCAATTCAAGCTTAATGCCTGATAGGTAGGTCATTAGTCATTTAGTGCAGCATCTAGGATGGGGCCAACAAAGCAAAGCCTGAACTGGTGTAGACCTTCAAATACCCCTTTTTACATTTAGTTATGACGTTAAATGTTCTATTTACCGTTTCTGTGCTACAAAACACTTCAAAAATTTATAGAAAAATAGGTTAAGCCAATTTTAAAGAAGATAATCGGCAAAAAGATTTAAATGCCAAATAATGACTCTGAATATCTACTGCCAATAAAAAAGTTAAGGAATATAAGAAACTGAAAATGTTAAAGAACCTGAAATTAAAACTCATTTAAGGCAATTAAATGAATTCTACAAATAAATACCCTACATACATTTCTGTAATAGTCCCTTAAAAATTAAATTCAAACACTAGCAAACCACACAGATACTTGACTGACATCCAAATGATTAATACAAATCAAAATCCGAGCCTAGTATTAGCCATGGGGTTAAGTGTTCCTCTAGAGGAAAGCAAGGGTTCCTCTTATGCTACCCATTGGCCAACCATGATCTAAGATTCATTCTGGTTTTTGCCATGGGTTACCACCATGTTCACACCAGGAAGGCCTCGGACACTGCCCATGGCTACAGTGCATGTTAGACCGGAGGCCAGGAAGGAGCTTTAGGCCAAGGTGACAATACAGGACTGGGGTGAAGTTCAGCCTATCCAGCCATATATCCAGCATTGCAAGAAGCCATGCTAGAAATGAGAGGACAAACTTGAGGGGAGGGAGATGTAAAAGGTAAATGTCCTTGTTAAGACCTTGGATATAACCCACTAGGAGACATACATAATGTAGCCTTTCCACTTCTTCTGACTGGCTTAATATGGAAACTTGTGAGCAGCCATGCTAGCTCACTCCAAGTCCTCACTGGAAGGAGAGTCAGCAACAGTTTTAATTCCATCCTCTGTTCCTATTGGCCAGGCCCAGTTCCACTCTCATTTCTGATTGGTTAGGTCATCCGGCAATCCACCACTGCCAAGGCAGAATTTTCCAGTTTGGGGCTGCACAAGGAGGTAGCGCCCGCCATCTTTAACAATGGGGCAGGTCCACCTTGTGCAAAACCCGCCAAGATTGTACCAACCAAAAACCTGCCATGTTATCCACGTGAGGAACCGCCATCTTATGCACATGACAACGTGTGCCACATTGCCCCTGAGGCAAAATTCGCCATGAAATTAACATGTCAAAAATGGAAGAAAACCCGCCATATTTTACTCTGCGGCAAGTTCTTCATCCGCCATCTTCTTATTACATGACCAAAATGTTCCACACCTTGCTGCACATTGGAACCAAGACTCACCCATCATTATGTGGCCTTCCCGCCACTTTAACACTGGAATAACTGGACCCGCCATTTTGTGCAGTCCACAAAGCACAGACAGCCATGCTGAGCATGCCGCAATGTCAAAACCGCCATTTTGAGCCCTGGCCGTAAATCAGCTCCCTCCCATTTTCACCTAACACTAAGTAGTGACACAGAACATGATCTTGGTTTTCTGCCTCATATACCATAATTTATACAAAGCTCCAAAAAATTCCAAACCAGCTCATTCAAAACCGTTAGGTCATGTAACGCACATGACTCTTTGGTCTACTTCGCTTCCCTAACTGGCACTCAGCTGAAATATGCGGCAAGTCTAAAATGGCGGCCACTTTTTCTCCTTAGCCTAACACCCGCTTAACTGCAAAGTCATTCCCGTCAAAGCCACAGATTCACTCACACCACCAAACGATCAGCAACAAAAAAGTGCAGATATTCCAGGTAGTACAATAATCCACAAAAGCGACATTTTCATACGTAAAAAGCCTCGATAAAAGATGAAAAAAATTAAAGCAGGTATCCG